GGGGGGGGGGGGGGTGTCCAGGTGGGTCCACCCTCCCCGTCAGCAGATGGGGAAGACCCGGAGGGTGGCCTCGCCCAGGCAGGGTGGCCACCCACCCTGCAGCCTCAGCACCTCAAGGTGATCAGGCTCCAGGGGTCTCCTGCAGGGGTCAGCGTGCCCCAGGCCTCCATCCTGTCACCTGTCCCACCTGCCTGTTCCTGTGTCAGAGCCACCAGAAAAGGGCACTGGGCCACCACCTTCCCAGGCCAAACCCAGCCCAGAGAGAAGAGAAACCCCACCTGGAACAGAGCCAGACGGGCCCTTTCCTTGCAGACCGCGGAGTCCTTTGCCCGCAGCAGAGGGGGGCCGGCAGGCAGGGCTGTCTCCACGGTAGGCCCGAGCAGAGCTGGGCCAGGTCCTGACGTCCCAGCCCCGGCTTTCTGTCAGCCTGGCCGGTGCTGCCTGTTGGCAAAGGCCAAGGCTTTGTTCTACAGAGCTAGTGAGGGCGTCAGGCGGCAGCTTCGAGAAGCCACTGACGTGGTCGCCAGCCGTGGTCCTTTGTTTGAGCAAGGCAGGATCTCAGGAGCTCTGAGCATTCTTCTCCCCGGACCTCAGGCCGTGTCCAGGCTGGGCCATCACGGCCGGAGGGGGGCCCTTCACACCGAGGTGTCCAGAAAGCCCCAGCCTTCCGCCTGCTCCCACGTCATTGGAGGTGATCAGAAAGAGTCGGGGACGGGAGGCCGGGGTGGCGTCCCCTCCCGTGTCTCTGGCCTGGCTGAGGGGCTGAGATCCCACCCTAGAAGAGCGATCTCTGCGTCTTGGGGCCTCCCTGGTCTGCTGCCAGCTCTGCCTCCGCTCCCCCGATGGGGAATGTGTGCGCGTGTCAGTGCGCATGTGAGTTCGTGTGCGACGTCCCCCGCCTGCGCGGGGTGTGCTCTGGACCCCGGCCCCTGCGTCCGCCCCTCCCTGTCCCGCTGCCTCCGGGTTCTCCCGCGCTGTCACGGAGAGCTCCCTCGGTGGCTTGGGCCGGAAGCCGGGGAGGCCGGGGCGTCCGTGTCTGGGCTCAGTCCCGGCTGGCCCCGCACCCAAGCCTGTGCCACCCCAGTGTCCTATTGCAGCCCCGTCAGGGCAGCTGTCTTGCCCTGGGTGGGGGTGGGGGGGGCGGGGTGGGGAGCTGGCGGCTGGGAGTACCTCGCTCACGCTCCACCTGTCTGCCCACATGCCCAGGTGAGGCTGGGGTCCCCTCGGATCCCGAAGGTCCCCCGGAGCGGCCCCACGCCTGTCCTCTCCCTACTGTCTCATCAGCACCACGGAGGAGGAGACCTCGCCCGCTGGCCTGGTCCGCTGGTCCCCCCACCTGCTGGCCGGGCAGCTCGGCTCCCTGAGGCCTTCCAGCCTGGCCATTCATTCGGTTCCGGGCTGAGCATGGACCCTGCACCCTGTAGGGGCTGGAAGACGCTCCAGGAGGAGAGAGGGAGGGACAGAGTCCCCGCGTGCATCTGAGCCGCCCTCAGTCTCCACAGGGCCCGCACCTGAGCTGCCCTAGGAAATGGCCAGCCTTCTCCCGTGCCTCCAGGGAGATTCCTCACCCTCATCCCTGCATCGCCGCAGCCTCCCTGGAGCAGTGAGGCCTTCTGTTGCCCTGAGGTCCCCCATTTTGGAACCGGAGCCACCTGCGGGCCTGGCTGGGGGCTGACCAGCCTGGCAGCCAGGGTGGAGCTGAGAGCCTGGGCCGAGCCCTCAGCTGGGCGTCCTCTCCTGCCCGTGCGGTGACGCCTTCTCTCTGCCGAGGGCACACGACTGCAGGGCTCCTTTCCCAGCTGGCGCCCGTGGCGGGTCCTTCCCCGGCCACATGTGCCCTTGGCCGTCACGAGGCGAGCACCCCCCCAGGTGCTTACAGGCTAGCCCAGGTGGCCAGGGCGGGGTTCTGTGTGTCTGGCGGGGGGCCAGGAACGGACGAGCGTCGGGCAGAGAATGGCCATGGCTGTCACGCACAGGCGTGAGCACGGCGCGCACGGGTGAGCCAGGTGGGCTCAGGTCTGCGAGCTGCATGCAGGGGCCGCAGGTGCTCACACGAGAGGACGTGCTCAGGGAGGCTCAGGTGTGGGGGAGCTGACCTGACTGCCCTCTTCCGGCAGCGACCCTGAGCCCAGCAGAATCTGCTTCTCCCCGAGAACTTTATTTTTGTTTTGTAATTTTTTTTCTGAGTTTACTCATTTATTTTGAGAGAGAGTGAGCATGAGCAGGGAACGGAGAGAGAGAATCAGAAGCAGTCTCTGTGCACTGTCAGCGCAGAGCCCGGCACGGGGCTCGATCCCACGAACCGCAAGACCATAACCCGGGCTGAAATCAAGAGTCTGCCGGGTAACCGACAGAGCCACTCAGGCTCCCCGAAAGCTGCCCCTCTTGAAAGCCTTTAAAAAAAAAACGTGGTGTGATGTATTTATTATAAAGCTTAATATAACATATGATATATATACTTTGTAATAAATAAAGCACGCAGATCTGAAATGAACAGATCAGCTTAGTTTTACAAACGTAGACACTACCCGGAAACAGCCGGATCAAGACGTGGGACGCTTCTGTCACACCGGGAGCCCCCTCCCTCCCCGTCCCGGGGAGCCCCGCCCCCTCCCAGAGCTCACAGGTGCTCCGACGTCCCTCGCGGCGGCCAGCCTTGCCTGTCCCCGAGCCTGCATGGACACACACACACACACACACACACACACACACACACACACACTGTGTGGCCGGCTCCCTTCTGGGAACACCACGTTTCCGAGATTTGTCCCGCGGCCGCGTGCGCCGCTCGCCTCTTCCGCGCGTGGCCGTCTCGCACCGCGCCCCGAGCTGTCAGCAGCGCGTTCTTTGGTGTCCCTGGAGGCGCACGACACCCTCTGGCTACCTGTGCTGCTGCAGGTCGACGTTTGTCACTCGGAGCTTCACGGACGCGGAGTGAAGCCGCCTTCGGTTCCGATGGTGCCTTTCGGGGGACGTGTGCGCCACTGTCCCCGGGTGGCAGCACCCGCGGGCCTGTCGCGCCACGTCGTCGCTGACTCCTGACGTCGGCCGTCTTCCTCGTTCCGGCCATTTTAGCGAGTGCACGAGAGCACCTCATCGGGGCGTCGATCAGTGTTCCCCCGACCAGTCGTGGCGTCGAGCGCGGGTTCGTGGGCGCGTTGGCAGGTGGACGCCCGCGTCGGGGAAGCGCCCGTTCCAACCTTTGGTCTGTCTTTTTTTAAAATCATGCGGTCTTTTCCTCACCGACCTGTAGGCATTCTTGATACTTTCTGGATACAAGTCCTCCACCAGCCTTAGACGGTCTGTTCATTCTCTCCATGATGCCTTTCCGTACAGAGAAGCTCTTGACTTTAAGGAAGCCCGAGTGGTCAAATATTTGCCTTTTATTGTCGGCGCTTTTGTGTTGGGTTAGACCTCGGCCGTTCCGAGGTCCCGCGGCCACATCCTGCTGTCGTGTTCTCCGGGATGGTCTTCACCGTCCCGTTTAGGTGTCCAGCCTCGCCAGAATTACTTTTATAACTGTGTAGCAGGAAGCATGACCCGCACTTTTCCATATGGATACCTGCTTTGTCCCGGGACCGTTTATCGAAAAGAACATTCTTTCCCCGCTGGACTGAAACCGTGCCTTGGTTCCAAGCCAAGTGATCGCATGGATGTGTTTGTACCTCTGTATGCTCCGGGCTGTTCCGCTGAGATAGTCGTCGATCGAAATCTAATCCCACCTGACTAACAGTGCGACCTAAGACTGCCTCCACCAATACCCTCCGTTCCTCCCTGACGCTTGGCGGTGAGGCTTGAGCTCCGTCGTGTGAATCTGCCGAGCCCGTCGTTCTTCAAAACCGTTTTGCCTGCTTGGGGCTCCTTGCGTCTCTGTAAATATTTTAGAATCTGCTTGAAATTTCCCCCCCAAAATATTAACAAATAAAAGCATTCAGAGACTGATTGGAGTCACATCGAACCCGTACCTCAAAATTAGCACCTTACAGATACGGTATCTTCCAGCTCGTAAACCTTGTATCCTGAATTAATTCATGGCTTCTTTCCTGTTTTTCACTAGCGTTTCTGTGTAGAGACCTCGCTCGTCTCCGATAGATTTATTCTGAGGCATTTTATGGTTTAGATGCCGCTGTAATTGGAACCTCTTTATTATTTTTTTCTGATTGCCACTAGCATATAGAAATGCCCTTGGTTTTTGCATGTTGTCTTTAAAACCAGTGCTCTTGCTAAATTCATTGGGCAATAGAATGGTTTGTCTGAAGATTCTGGAGATTTTTTTTTTTAAACATCTATGATTACATCATTTGCAAGTAATGATGGTTTTACTTTTTTTCCCATCCTGTTCTGTCTTTTGTTTCCTTTTTCTTCCCTTGACGCGCTGGCCGAGGCTTTCAGGATGATGTCGAGTAGAAATGGTGAGAGCGGACGACCCTGCCTGGCTCGCTGTCTCAGAAGGAAGGTGTCTAATGTCTCACTGTGGAGTATGATGTCCACTCTACTGGGTTTTGTCTGGTTTCCCGCATGGATTTGCTTTCTACATAACACAGCTTCCCTCTGTTCCTGGTTGCCTCTCAGTCGCGTTTCTGACTGTGAGTGGGTCTTGAGTCTCATCAAATGTTTCTCTGATCTTTTGAATTGATCACATGTCTTTTCTTACGCTTATTCTGTTGATTGTTGATTTTATTCTGTGATTATAAAATAAATATAATTTATGCTTACTCATTCTGTGGCTTATTCTGTGGGTTGGTTTTTGGATGCTAATGCAACCTTGGGTAAGTGGATCAGACCTCATCTAGCGTATGTCTTTATAGACAGCGTTGGGTTCAGATTCTTGCTATTATGGGCAGGACATTTGCACCTACAGTTAGGAAAGATTGGCCTGTGATCTGCCTTCTGCTTCATAAAAATCCTCCAAAAGATTTGTATAAAACTGGTGTTATTTCTTCCTTAAATGTTTAGAAGAATCTACTAATAAAATCACCTAGATTTAAAGTTTTGTTTATTTTTTTAAATTTTTAATGTTTATTTTTGAGAGAGAGAGAGACAGACAGACAGACAGACAGAGTGCAAGCAGGGGAGGGACAGAGAGAGGGAGACACAGAATCTGAAGCAGACTCCAGGCTCCGAGCTGTCAGCACAGAGCCTGACGCGGGGCCCAAACTCACGAACCGCGAGATCATGACCTGAGCCCAAGTCGGATGCTTCACCGACTGAGCCACCCAGGTGTCCCTTGTTTGTTTATTTTGTGCAAAGATGATTAAAATTCCAAATGTAACTTATGTAATTCATACTGGGAACTTTGAAGTTTTTATGTCTTGTGTCTGTTTTTATATATTATATTTAAGGAATTGATATATTTTAACTAAGCTATCAAAATTATGTTTGTACATAATATCCTCTGAGTAGAGTTTTTGATCCTCGAGGTCTATAAAGATGTTCAATTTTTGATCCGTTGGTGATTTGCAGCCCCAGGTCCCCCGGTCACTCTTGCCAAAAGTTTGTCAATGTCATTAGTTTCTTCAGGGAATCAAAATTTGGCTTTGCTGATGTTTTTAACGTAAGGTTCATTTTTTATTTCATTGAGTTATACTCTGTATTCTCTCTTTCTATCAACTTTCTTTGGGTTTAATTTTTTTTTTAAACTTCTTAAAACAGAGGTCAGCCTCCCTCTTCTCTAATATATACATTAAAGGTCATCAGTTTTTCTCTAAGGACTTATTCGTGGTACCTCAGCCATTCATTTAGCTGTGATATGTGGCATTTTTATCATTATTCAGTTCAAAATACTTTCTGATTCTTAGTAGATTTTTTTATTTGGTCTTGTATCATTTAATTTCTAAGACACTTCAGAATTTCTGGTTATCTTTTCCTTATTGATTTTAAC